GATTCATTGGACTGTCGGTTAAACAACATTCCCAAGTCGTCTGAAAACAAACAAACGCTTCACCAAAATAAGCACCTGTCTTAACAGTGCTGCTGTTACCCATCGCACTCTAACCTGACATCACGGACACCGTGTCAAATAGAAATTAGCAGAAGCGCGAGTCCCTTAAATACATATATGAAGGTTCTTGAAGCCTCCGTGCGACGACTGACTTTTGAGCCTGTCCCCAGAGCCTGCACACTGGTGGTCACTTAAACCAGTGATTCTCAAACTGGTCGTCAGGAACCAGGAGACAGTCCACATTTTTGCTCCCTCCCAGCTCCCTGCCAGACAGTCCACATTTTCGCTCCCTCCCGGTTCCCTGCCGGGCAGTTCACATTTATGCAACCTTCCAGCTCCCTATCAGGAGGGCCCCGAGGACTGGGCTGAGAAACACTGCCTTAAACCAAGCAGGCCACAAACCACCTGAGCAGGAGAGACGCCCACCTCGGGTGCCAATGATGTCAGAAGAGACACAGCTGACCTCACCACCTCAGGTGCTCGAGACCCGAGACAGGGGAACTTTCATTCTCTCTTACTTATGCTACAAACTAGGGTGAAGTGGGTCTCCCATCCATTAAACTTAATATAAATAAAACACATGCCTAAACACTATTGTTGGCTAAACATTCATGCTTTTAGGATAAATTTTATACAAGGAAACCATTCGGCTACAGAAGATTGGACATACTGAAAGCATTCTGTCTGTACAACCGCCAAGAGACTCTCAACCCACAAAAATTCCAATGGATGGGACTGATAAAGATTAAAATTTAATTTACCCAGATAAATAACACTGCAGACTGACAGGGAGTCTTTCGTAAGAAAAAGAAAAAACAAACAAACAAACATAAAAACAAGAAATGTGATGGAACAGAGATGCATCCATGACATGTGAGAGGCCATGTTTGCCAAAACATCGCTTGCTCAGATCGCCGCTGACGCGCCTCGCAGATCGTTTACGCCTCCGCGATGCCCCGCTGTGCTCACGACGCGCTGGGGACACAGGCACGGTCGAGTCATAGCCATGGTAACGCAACACGTGCGGGGTCAGGATCAGAGCAGGGTGGGGGCGGGGGCGTATTACACTGGAAAGAAAAGGGAAGACGATGGGGAATTTAGATGTCAAATAACTGAATAGTTGTCTCGACTGGAACAAACAAAATATTGCCTGATTCAGTCTGCATGACCTTCACTGGATACAGCTTCCCTCCTGTTATAGGCAGGAACACCACCAAACAATAAAGACTCATAATAGAGAATCATATCACCACACAACTCGTCTCCAGAGGATGGAGTGGAGAAGATATCATCGAATAAGGGTGATGTTAGGCCTGCCTGAGTCCTCCAAGGTCAGCACCAAGGGGTTAAAAGACACTTCCACACGCAACTGATCTTGACAGCACAGGAAATTCTATTTCACTTCTACATTAATCAGTTTCTCAGACGAGAACTTTATCGGATGCAATTCACAAAGCCTTGCAATTGTGCACTAAAAAAAAATACAAAAAACACGAATATGAAGTTTTGATACCCATTACTGGCACAGTCTGGGTTAGGTGCCTCCCGGGGCACAACGACAATGTTCCTATGACTCCGAGTTGCAGCCTTATCATCGAATCTTTAAACTGTGCCATCCTTCACCAATCGGCAGTTTTATATTTCCTTCCCTATTCCTCTATAGAACTTTCTGGATCACGTGTTCATGTCAGCCCCCCCCCCCAGCAAAGACCCGTCTTGCTTCGTTAATCAGCACACGCTTCCTATCGTGCACCTTGTCACAGTGTGAAAACATACAGCCAATATAAAACAAATATAGCAGCACCAGCCCAAACACTGAGCCACAAAGGCTAAAGAGGCTCCTCTACCTGGAGTCACTGCAAGCAGAGCTGCACCTCCCTTCCTGTCTCGCGTCTACCGCACCGAGGGCCTTCAGTCTTCGTCAGGAGCAAAGACATAGACGTCACGCTCACGGACGCTCCCCTGCCACCACCATAGGTTACCCTGTACCTCCTGGGCATCTCCCCGTTCGGGGACAACAATAAGATCCTCGTCCACTTTCAGAAATCCATGAAAGGAGCAACAAAGTGTCAGGAAGGTATTTATACTTGGAAAATATACATCAATTGCTGTTTCAACAGAATGAAGCTGCTCGTCGTGTTAACAATACGGCCGCTGTCATCCAGACGAGGTTCCTCATCGCTGCGCTACTCGCTCTGCCAGATCCCCCACAACACATTCAGCAAGCATTAACGACAATAACAACAAAAACCGAAAGCAGAGAGGGAGGGGGGAAAAAAAAACAAACAAAAAAAACAATCTGTTACACAACTTCCAATATTTATTACAGATAAAAATGAAACCACCCACTCTTTTTCGTAGCTCGTCACTATTTCCAAATGGGTCTTACACAACTCAACGTAAACATTAGCGCGCTGGTTTTGCAAGTTCGCTGGAGCCAGTAGTCAAAAGAGGGGGGAGCATTAAAATCCCCAATTACGGACACCACGGGCAGGAAAGTGACCCGGCAAGATGGACCAGGAGGGCCACCAGGCCAAAACAGTCACACAATGGCACAAGGTGACAATACTTCAATATCACCTCTTAATTGAGGCTATAGTGTAAGCATGAGGCAAACAATTTCATCCTTTGACAGAACATTATTCATTTATTCCTCCATAATAATGGCTCATCATCATGAAGCAATAGAGACCCCACATTACATGGAATATATAGAAATGGTTCTTGTAAGCAAACCTCTAACCAAGCCTGAAAATTAAGGGGGATGTGCTTAATTTTAGCCTTAACTATGTGTGTGTGGTTGAGGAGGGGGTCTGACAGGGACAAAGAATGACTAAATGGTGAAGAAAACTAAATTACGGAAGGCGTGGAAATCTTGAGAGGTCTGTCGTGAGCTCAGCCTGTGATAAAGCACTCCTAATTTAGAGACTCTCCATTAGGAAATGTCATGACATCATCAATCATGCGGTGATTTCACCCAGCAGCTGCGAAAGGAGGGCAATATATTCATCATAAATACAGCCCCACGACTGAACGCACAATATCATTCGGGGGGAGATAAATACCATTTCGGATTTTACCGTCAAATTAAAAGGCAGCATCACAAACTATTTTTAACAAGCAATTACCAGGAAAAAGGTCTTCGTTTTAATCACACCATATCAATTATAAGACTTTGATGGGCCACCCACTTATCTGGGATAGAAACCGGGACGATTCGGCAGATTATGTGACGAGCTGTGCAACAATGCTCCAGTGATGTTTCCGGAACTCTGCCATGACGTTATCACAGCAGACTCACCGTGTTTGACCCAGCAGAGGGTAAACACGGCTTCAATCAGAATGGAGAAAGAAAACGTTGCTTGGTCTTTCTGTATTTACGCTAAAACCAAGTCATGGTCATCAAGGTCTCAGTGACACGCGGAACATTCCACACGTGGCGGCCTGAAAATTAAAGGGGGCTGACCCGCTGAGGAAGCTCCTTTGTTAGCGTGAACCCCGGCATCGGGAGTGATGTCATCGTCTCTCAGCACTAGAGGTCTCACGCTGTAATGTCACCCGGGTCCCTCGTTCTCGGGCCTGGCCCCGTCGTCCTGGTAACGCTACCCTCACACATCTGGCCACTTAGTCCATCTGACAAAAACGTTGCTTGCCCTCCTGGGATAGGTGAAAGGTGTCCCACTCGAGGACCAGTACCACCAGTTCTTAAAGAAGTACACCAGCAAAACACCATCACTATAAGTGTTATTATGCAAGACAGCTTCCCGAGTCATTGTCCAATGAACATTCCACAAACAACTGGAGCTGGTCTGGTCAAGGTGTCCACAACAAAATAAATTAAAATTTAAAAAAAAAACACAGACAAATAAATAATAACTCTGCTTTAGTCATGCTGCATCTAGCTGACAAAACCAAGTTCTTAACGTCAATCCTTGACAAAAAAAAGTTATGGAAAACGAAGCAGTTTTCTGAAGCAAAACACCCCCCACACCGATCTCCAACCAAATGACATCTTTCAGATATAGATATCGGAATTATTGTATGCAACATGGATGGCCTCTGCACAGAGGTGCGCAGTTTCACACCAGAAAATAAGGTGATTTCTATAACGCGACATTTGAGCCATCGGTCGGGTTAAATGCCTTGATCATTCGGCGTCCCGATGGCCTGTAAACAGACGGTCTAGCTCATCCTCCAGCTTTTTATCCTTCCCAGCCGCAGCATCTCTTCTCTAATAGTATCGCAAAGCAGCTGGACACCAAAGAGCCCCGCGCTGCGTCTGGAAAGTGCGAAAACAGGCACCAAACAGCGGCGTAAGTCGGGGTCCGGATAGACGCCGAGCAGCGGCCTTTCGCTTTGCGCGATTCGCCGTAAAGCTGTCCGTCCGGCCGCCGGGACCAGCACCAAACCGTCACCTCCAGGGGACCGCGTCAGGATGCTCGTAATAACAACCCGCCCCACCCCCCTGCGTCGTTTACAAACTTTCCCCTCCCGTCACCTTCCGATGCCGGCCCACAGTTTGAAATGTCGCCCTAAAGCCCACTGGAGGACTGACACCAGTCCAACCGGGAAGCAGAAGCGACGGGGAGCCGAAAAGGCGCCGGTACGCCGCGTCTCGCACGTCCTTCCCCCGCCGGGGTGTCTGTAGGACATCAGCCAGTGGGCCGCTAGTAAACAGCCAGAGACCCAGATACAGTGTCGCACTAAACGCAAAGCCGCGTCCCAGCGCCCGTACGCACGAAGACACGCATGCATTTTATACGGCGACACCTGGCAAAACTCGCATCGTATAACGCGCCTCGATCCCCCCCAGGAACCACGCCGCTATTAACAAGCGGAAAAACACTGTAGCGAAACGGGCCAAAGGATGAAACGACCGGCAGATGAACGCGAGGGGGATGCGGACATGGAGGTGAGCTGCGGGCTTGTTATTGTATTACCTCCGCTGACTGGCGAGCTCCTGCCTGGCGCTGATCTTCTCCGCCTGGCGGTCAGTGCCCCATCTCCCGAGCCGCGTCCCCCCAGGTTCGCGGGCAAGCTGCGTCAGGCCGGTGGGGCTGGAGCGGCGGGACGTCGGCGGCTTTGCGCTGCTCCCGACTGAGGAGGAGGAGGAGGAGTGGAGGAGGAGAAAGAGGAGGAGAAAGAGGAGGAGGGAGCGCGGGTTGGGCGCTGATGATTTCCACGCAGGAGCTGGTAGGGCACGGCGGCGCGGATGGGCTGCAGCCGGCCAGTGCTGCTGCTGTTGCTGGCTGAGCTGGAGGGGGAGCCCTCCCCGGCAGCTTTCATTCGCTACCGCTGCGATGAGTTTGCGGCGGATGCTGACATTATTAGTTTCGCACAATTCGACGGCGCCCTAACTTGGTAAACAACGCGGCCGACTTAACAATTAATGGGTATCTAAGGCTCCCAGGGGACAAAAACATCACTAATAAGTTAGTGACACTGCGATAATTATTAACCGCCCTCCCACCGTCCCCAAAACAGTGACGGCGTGGCGTTTTAGAACAGTAAACTATTAAATGCCAGTTTATTTGTTTGGATTCTGGAAAATACGTATCCTTGAACTATTTTACATTCTATAGTGGCGAAAATGTCAGTAAATAAAGTTAACATTAATATAAAACAACATTTTAAAGGGAAAAAAATAGGTAGCTCAAATCGTGAGGACTATCTTAATATTGTTATTGTCCTTTTTCACTCCTCTCCCCAACCTCCTTTACTAGTCTAAATGAGAGCTGCTGCTTCGGCACAGCCGCTGGCTGACATACAGGGGCGGGCTACGGTGAGTAATTCTGACTATCAGATTGGTGGTTTACTGGTCAGTGTCATCACTCATTGGTCCAAAGCCGTGATTTCGCCAGTAAAACCCGGCCAATAAGTTCATTGAGGTTTTCTGAGGGCTGAACGTATCTTCATCCTCAAATTTTAATTGGTCGCTCTGCTAAACTGACAACGACCCGAGCGCCGCGTGTGTACAATGAATTAAGGTTTCGAACACGCTTCGATTGGGTGGACTGACAACATTGGTTTTTTTGATAATCATTTCAGAATGGAAAAGTGAATCTGCATGCACTTGTACGGTTAAAACCATTTGTTGTTAACGGATACCGTATGCAAAGTTGTGATATTTCATTCTATTATCGTGTTAATATTATTCTTTAAAATGAGGTCTTACGAAAAGCATTCATGTACGGAAAGAATGTGTGAAATCTGTACGAGAACAAGGTAGAAATCGCTAAATGGATTTAAAAAAATCATGTTGCAGATGTGCCAAGACAGAAAATAGGGGGAAAAAGAATGTTGCCATCTCGTGCGCATCAGGGGTGACGCTTACGCGAGAAATCTTACGGCAAATCTATATTCAATTATAAACCTATGATTTACAAACTCTATACTACTTACAAGGTAATGAAACTTTTACATACATGTAAATACATGTGCAGACTTGTCTCGAATTGAAAATATTACGCCAGCCAGCTGACCAAAGCTGCAAGCCTGGACCCCCCCACATAAGGTGTAGAATCGCATTAGCCTAACTTACTAAAAGCTTAAACAAACCACGAAACTGTAAACCACAAAAGACAAAAATAGAGAAATATTCTATTGTTGTACAAGTAATGCAAAGTATGCAGAATATCGCTACAAACATTGTGTGGTACATATAAGGGGACATTTAAAATAGACATACCACCATAGACGTATTTATTTCAGGAAGTTGATGAGGGACAGCCGTCAAAATATCGTATACCCGGGGGTTGGGTGCCGGTAGTAAAATTCTTCGGGCGGGTTGCAGCGGTAGAACTTCTTGCCGCCCAATTTTTACGTTAAAATTAAACGTGACAACGGCACAACAGCATAATAAAATACTGTTTAAATATATTAGTTTGACTCTTACTAACAAGCAAGCCGTATTGTTGACAAACTAATGCATTCATATGAAAATACAAAACAATAAGTTACAGTATGCAGTCATACAGTATACAGCAGAGGTGCAGGGTTGCCAACTTTGGTCAGCTGGCTGGTGTGAGATTTTAAGTTCGAGACAAGTCTGCACACGCATGCACACACATTTACATGTAAGAGTTTTATTACCTTGTAAACAGTCTGTAAGGTTTGCAAAGTATCCCAGTGCTTTTGATGAAGGCTAACGAATTTTAGGTTTATAATGGAATAACATAGATTTGCCGTAAGGTTTCTTGCCTGAGAGTCAGAAAGCATGAGTGTCGCGCCGGATGCCTGAGTTTGGCAACCCTGCAGATGCAATCACATGTCATTACGTCAAGAAATATGGATTGTATCAAACGAATATGTGTATGAATACATATAATTTGCAAACGAGGCGATTTCCAATTCTAACTTTATGATTAATAATAAAAAAATTAAGCATGTTTAAACTAGAGCAACCAAATTATTACCCACTTAATCCTTCATATCCCATCAATGTACCTTCGTGCGCTAAGGAGACCTGCACGCTCAAATGCACGAACCGGCGCGCATACACAAAACACACTTTTATTACTACGTTGTCAACCAGAAAACATGCAATGGGCTTATACTCATTATAACACAGACACAAGCTGAGAAAATCACATGAATGAGAAAGTGTGACAATTCTCATCGAGCCACAATCCTACTTCACTGACCCTGCTACTTCTAGACAGGCAAAGAGATGTTCTCAAACCAATTTCACACAAAACAGCAACTCCGAGAATCTGCATTCAGTAAAGAACTCATGAGTAAAACCATTCCTCCTTATTTAAAGCTATACACACAGCTGATTTCTGGTCACTCTCTGATATGAGGGTGATGCACTAAAGCGTGATACAGCATTTCCTGTGACAGTACGAGATAAGGTAAGATAATCCAATTAAAAATGTAAGTTTACTTTACATAGATATGAACACCAAGGACAAATGCCTTCATTTTGATTATTTTACGTGTTGTTAGCTTCCTGAGTGCCTGACAAACACCAGCCACACACGCTGATGACAGGATTTACTGTGATGCAAGTACAAACCCACCGTTCTGATATCTATAGTTCATTTAAGGCAGCATGTCGAAATGCTGAGTAAAAGTAGTGATTTAAAAATGTTGGTGTTTTCCAGAATTCAACAAATCACAGCAGCACAGAGAAGCTCCACTGACTGAAGGGGGTATTATGAGTCACAGAGGACCGAGTTCTCCAGGGAGAAGTCATAGCGGAAGCTGGCCAGGTTGTCGTTAATGTCCCGGGAGAGAAGCACGTCGGGCAAGTGGTGAAGGCCTGCCTGCATAGCCAGGACGTGGGGAGCCAGAGTGAAGGGCACGTCGCTCAGGAGCTCCGGGAGGGAAGGGCCGCCTTCCGAGGCAGCGGGAGCAGCCAATGGGGCCGCATACATGGGGGCCGGCTGGGCTGGAACCGGCTGCACCGGAGCCGGCTGAACTAGGTTCTCATATGGTGTCTGCAGAGGGACAAAAGGTGTAATAGAAATGCTTATTTTTTTAAATATCACAGACATTATGTAAGAACTCAAACTACACACCAAATCATCTTACTTCAGACAGCAAAATAAATAAATGCAAATGTAAAGAAAATGGTGGTCTTAAAATCCAATATCGTTGGTTATATCTTTTGACCAAAGATGCCTTTCTGTAAGTGAAGTGATTAATTGCTGTCACAGCACAGCACACAACAATGAAACGTGTCCTCTGTATTTAACTCATGTGACATCATGACATAGCAGGGGGCAGCTAATTCAGCGCCCGGGGAGCAGTGCTTGGGGGCGGGACCTTGGTTGGCGATTCGAACCAGCAACCTTTCAATCGCAAGTGCGCTTTCCCTAACCACTAGGCCACCACTAATCGCACTGATCACCACCCAAAAGACGCACAGTCAGTTTTCATGGCAATATGGCAAACTGGAAGTTATTAATATTACATTCATGAATTAGATACTCTTGACATCATGTGAACAGTGATTGAGCAGTGAGTACAGCTTCAACTCTGCCTGTAGTGTGATCCTAAGTACTGCATATGACATGAAATATGGTGGGAAATGACACTGAATAACAAAGATGTGACAAGAGCAAAAAACGCTGAAAGTACTGGCAGAGCCAAACATACCAAACCTCTGTATCCAGATTTACAGCTGCAGTACTTTAGAAACACAGTACTGTACTTAAAGCATATAAACTGTCATATAATATCATCTAAGACACCTAATGTCATCCAAGACATCTTTAAACAACAAGCAGTAAAAACAAGACAGAGAGACAGAAAAAGAGAGAGAGAGGGAGAGAGACATCGAGAGAGAGAGACATAAAGAGAGAGACAGCAAGAGAGAGAGAGACAGACAGCAAGAGAGAGAGACAGAAAGAGAGACAGCAAGAGAGAGACAGAAAGAGATAGAGACTTGCACCAACCTTTATTTAGTCAGTCAGCAACAGAAAAAAAAAGAGATAGAGACATCGAGAGAGAGAGACATAAAGAGAGAGACAGCCATCAAGAGAGAGAGAAATAGAGAGAGAGAGACAGACATCAAGAGAGAGAGAAAGAGAGAGAGAGACAGAGAGAGAGACAGAGACATCAAGAGAGAGAGAGACATCGAGAGAGAGAGAGAGACATCGAGAGAGACAGACATCAAGAGAGAGAGAAATAGAGAGAGAGAGACAGAGAGAGAGACAGACATCGAGAGAGCGAAAGAGAGAGAGAGACAGAAAGAGAGAGAGACAGAAAGAGAGAGAGACAGAGACATCAAGAGAGAGAGAGACATCGAGAGAGACAGAGAGAGCGCCTTGTCCTATGAAAGAGGCAAGATTTTCTCAAGCAATGTACTTATCTGCTCATGACTGCACCCACTGATATGAAGTAGGCAGGACCATACCAACCCTCCAATCCAAATAAACATGGCTCATTTTAGAAGGCAGTTCAAGCTGGCGGCTGTGGGCTGGGCAGCTTATTGATGCACTGCACAGGGGAGTGGGCTCAGGCCGCTATGGTAGCTGGTCGCATTTCCACTGGCATTCAGGAACCGTTCCTGATCTATTTCATGATGGGAGAATAGTTACAGCACGGTTCCAGCTCAATTCGGTATTCCACTGCGGAAGGGTCGACTTGGAAAAGGCGTTGCCGGGTTTGGAGAGCATGGAAGAGAAACTTATTTGCTGTTCACATAGCGCACGTTAGCCTGTGTCCGAATTCAGGGGCGGCACCTGTCTAAGACCGCATTCATAGGCAAGGCTCCTTCAAAATCCAGAAATGTGTCGTTTTGCCGAGTCGCCAAAGATCCCCCTGATGGATCCTTCACAGCCCAATACATCCCAGGATTGGCTGTGCAGGGCTAAAGTGGGCATGTCCCGGCTTGGCGATAGGAGGGAGATTCAAAGGGAAGGGCGGGAACAGCTGCTGACGGCCACAGCTTTCCATTTGACGGCGCTTTCCGTTCGACCTTCAAAGAACGCAGCCTACAAAGACTATGCCTTACTAAACCACGCTTTGAAGGATGCCACCCCTGAATTCGGACACAGCTATTGATACTCGAATAATGAATAATATGTAGAATGTGGCCTTTTTTCTTCAGATAATCCATGCTTATTGACATAGAACACCAGTATCTCCCTGCATCTCGACCAATCAAATGGTGACACAACCAGGTCGGTTTGGTCACGCTTTCGGCCCTGTTAGTGCGCAGTGCCACGTGAGTGCGGTTACGGCTCAGGTCCTTTACAATGGAAAAACAGTAGTTTGCGGTACGGCTCAGTTCTTGGTGACAGTGGAAAGATGCCACTAGACTAAACGAGACCTTTGTTTTTGCTCCAGTTCCTAATCCCAGGTGAGGATTCTGTTAACTCCTCGAAAAAACAACCCCTTTCCTTTTGGATGAGATCGATGCGGATTATCACCCTATTCCGCCAGCTGACCTTGGATGCTATAGACCTTCCTCTGACATGTTAAAAGGGCACCGGCTTATGGGGTGTAACATTACACACGACTAAAACATCACTCGCTGTCAGTGCTTCTGCATGTAGGTCTTCCCTGATCCAGCAGAAGAAATCCACCTCATCTCTAAAAGCAAAGATGACCAAAGAATCTGATTGCATTAATCAGATCTTATTAATCAGAACTTTTACTTAACGATATTGGCTTAGCGCTCATAGACCCAAATTAGCTTGTGTCCGCTTCCCTGCAGAAGTACACAGAGCCTCTGTTCCAAACAACATGCTTGAAAATCTATTCCTCCCACCTGCCACCTGAGTTAATGCTCATCTAGGTAAACAGGTACAATGGCTGTAATGTTTATACCTCCTATACGTTGGGCTTGGACACACATGGAGTATTTTGCGCACCCAGGGTCACACATATAATATACAATAACACGACCATGAATGTTAGGACTTCTGACCATATATACAAGTCTTGGTAACTCAGGAAGTCAGCTGAAACAGACAGGCTGAGAGAGTTCCTCCAACAAATTTTTGCCTGAAACGCACCATGTTTAGTGATTGGCCCTCAGGCGGAGTTCTGCTCGGCCGGAAGCTGTGACAGGGCTGGTGATGGAGCTCGGCGCTGCGTTTTACGGCCGTGTTTATGTTTATCATAAAGACAATGAGGGAACCAAGTGGCTACGCAAGCTGGGGGATCGACAGCTTGAGGCACTGCAGTGCTTAAGAGCTCCGCTGACGACCTCCTGCAAGCCGATGATCACTGTTTACCGGCTGCTTATTCATACAGCTGGAGAATTTGCCCAAGGTGTTCCTGGTGGATATGCTAGAGGCACCTAAAGTCGCTGAGATGGGCACGGATGCAGTCTGCGCTCCTCACAGCGGGCCAGCTGGGCTTTATCGCAGCCCGTAAATACGGCACGGGTCCACGCCGTTTTCCGTACGGTCTGCGGGGCACCACGTGTGCCAGACACTCCACAGCGACCCGGCATGCGCCGTACACTCCGCAGTGCCACGCTGGCACAAACAGGAGAGCGGCTATTGATCTATTGGCCAACACAGGACATCCGCTGGCTGTCAGTACAGTCAATGTGTGACAAGGCAAAAGGCCATCTGGCTGGAGAAACCATGGAACAGCCATTTCAAGCTTGGAAAAAAGACAAAAATAAATATTCGCTTCTCAATGATCTCCTTATGGCCTCAGACCTGCTTCTGGAGAGACCCTAAGCACAGGTTTGACACAAAATTCGGTGGAAAAGTCCGGCTGCAAACAATTACGGAAACAGCCAGTAGTGATGAAATCATTGGCACAGCTTAATATACAAACATAAATGCCTCTAAATGAGGAAAAAATGCCATTTTTGCCTTCTTGCCAGACTGGGTGAGGTTTCCGCAAATATTTCATTCATGTACTTTGACACTCAGTTAACACCAGTTTTTGGAATAACAATTAAATCATACTGTTTACATTAGAGGTCTTTGCTGAGTTTTCGTTGTGCAGGATGATTTGCATAATGTCCCGGATCGTACCAAAAACTGGGACGCAGGGGGATCTCGCCTCACCTTCGAAGGCAGCACAATGACACCGGCTGCGGGCGGTGTGGGGCCGCTCTTCTGACTCTTCTGCTTCTGCTCTTCAGGTGTTTCCCCTGAGGGGGGGGAAAGCAGCAACAGTAACTAAAAGCTAGGTTATATTTTTCAATATAACATGAATGCTTCCTGTCTTTTGAACTGTGGTGTCCATGCTCTCTGCGACATGATTTGTGACGGTATTTATTTGGAGGTCAAACTGCACTCCCCCCGTTAAGGTACTAGCAGTGCGCTGCGGGCCGTCATCACAGAGTGACCCGAACCTTCACAACAAAAGAAAGGAGGTCAACTTAGACAGATTACCGGTGCTTAATAAGTGTGTGTGTGTGTGTGTGTGTGTGTGTGTGTTTTTAATGGAAACACATCCCTCCAGTAGAGTGCTCTTCAAAACACAACGGCCTCCCCTCCTCCCTTCATCTTTCCCAGTCTCTGTGCTCTCAGCGACTTACGAGAAACACCAGCTACTACAGGCAGACTGTCCTCTCATTCGGTCTCTCAGCCACCCACACCGTGCGCCACACACACCCCCAATTTACATTTAAAATTTCACGGAAAAGGCCAGACACTTGCTACTGCCAAAATGGAGAGATTCGTAATGAAAACATTAGAGACACAGGATAAATGTTCCCATCCATTTTAAATAAACAGAAGTGAATGTTGCCTGTAAATACAGGGAAGAGAGAAGGATGTTTCCACAGCCGACAAACACTGTTACGAAGTTAAATAAAACAAAGAAATTGGCCATAACAGAGGATGACCTCAAAACACTGTATAAAAATGTAAATACAAGAAATATTAAGAACGATTAAATATATTAAAGCCTATTGCCTCCCTCATTATAAGCAGAGCAGAGATACTCCATTATTTCAGCTGTTTCTCAGTGGTGCATGACTAACTGATTTTGCCTGTATTCTGGCTGCTCTTGCTGATATAGCTTATAATAATTCCAGTCAAAGGTGGAGTTTGGGGGCGGAGGGTCAGGCATGGGGGCGGAGGGTCAGGCATGGGGGCGGAGGGTCAGGCATGGGGGCGGAGGTAAGGGGAACTGTGTAGGAAAGCAAAATAAAGCATATGCTAATTTCTCATTTGTAAAAAAAAANAGGGGAACTGTGTAGGAAAGCAAAATAAAGCATATGCTAATTTCTCATTTGTAAAAAAAAAAACAAAACAAGCAGACACACACATGTCAAGGTCACCCAAATGGGTATAGAGGGGCAGGACCACGGGGACACTGGCCCGAGCTGAAAGCCGATTGGCCCCTGGAGTGGCCCCTCCCCTTTTACTCACTGATTCAAAATGAATCATTGGCAAATGATAAGGTTGGTCCCTCTGTATGAATTAAGGCTCCCACCTTAAAAAAAATACATAAATCAAAGAACTGTCCCTGGTGGCACATTATTCCCTAAGGTCTCACCGGGTGAAATGACTTCAGTGCCTCAAGGTCACAAAAATAAATAAATAAATCCATTGCTGGTCTGTGTTTTGGTATTAAAAAAGCACAGTGGTAGCTATAAGAACATCCATTAGAACTCCCTCGTCCAGAAAAAAATGTAATTGTTTTATTTCCTTTATTTAGATGTTCAGTATATTTAAGCTCCTTTTTTTCTCTCTGGAGAAAAAGATTATATTCACTATAATGAGGACACTATGCCCTGGACACCAACTGCATCTGCTAGCCCAGCGTTTCTCAAACGGGTCCTAGGGGACCACAAGACAGTCCACATTTTTGCTCCCTCCATCTCCCTGCAGAACAGTCCACATTTTTGCTCCCTCCCAGCTCCCTGCAAGACAGTGCACATTTTTGNCCTGCAAGACAGTCCACATTTTTGCTCCCTCCATCTCCCTGCAGAACAGTCCACATTTTTGCTCCCTCCCAGCTCCCAGGAAGACAGTCCACATTTTTGCTCCATCCCTGCAAGACAGTCCACATTTTTGCTCCCTCCCTGCAAGACAGTCCACATTTTTGCTCCCTCCCAGCTCCCTGCAAGACATTTTTGCTCCTCCCAAAAACGTGGCCTGTCTCAGGGTCCCCAAGGGCTGGGTTGAGAAACACTTTGCTAGTCAGATAAATTATTCACTATAAACTAAGCCTACGTTCTCCTTCTATAAGTGTGCCCTTGTCTTGCCTACAGAACACACACCCACACCTTGTGCACTATGAATTGCACGGCATCCTTCAAAGATAAACTAATGGAAAAAACCAAACATTGGCCTGAAGTGGAGAGAGGTCTTTCACATTTAATATCTTGGTAAAAGAAATTTCCAAATACTGGTACCTATGTGGGTACATTTTAAGCTGCTGTTCTATAGAAAATCCATCAGCGTATTGTTGCTTTATGCCTCCAGCATTCGAGCTTCAAACCCCAGCTCTGCTTTTCCTCCTGGCGTCAAACATGCAGTTTGTCTCTGAATCGCTGATAGTGCAAAACCATGAGTGTGTGTGCGTGCGCATGTATGTGCCCTGTGACAGACTGGCCCCCCGTCCAAGGTGAACCGTACACTATTTCCCTCTGCTTCCTGGAACAGGCTCTAATACACGAGTGAGAACACAGAGAATGGATGTGTAACTTCCTCCAAGAGATTTTACAAAACTTTTTGCTGGGGTACTGCAGCACGGAAGCTGAGAAACCAGAGCAGTTCCATTATGTGGAAAATCCAGTTCCTGAACTGGCCTGCATTCCAATCTACAGAGGAAGGGAAATCAGCTCAGTTTTCTGGAGATGAATCAAAGGCTGTGAAATTCTTTTCATTACTGCTTTACAGAGGACACGAACCCCCCCCCCCCCGGGGGAGTCTATGAGTTCCATCCAGAAACTAAAACCATCAATAATTTTTTACATGTTTGATTTTAGCTGAGAACACTTTAAATATTTAGTTCTCATGCTTGGCTGACTTGTTAGGCCGTGAGAGTGAGGTGATGGGACACCCATCAGAGTCAAACCTTCCCAGGGTGTCCAGTGCTTAATGGGTGGCCAGACACACTCCCTTAGTGCACAACGCAGTGCACCCCCCGGCATGCAGCGCTCTTGTGGAGCACAGTGCAGTGTGTCCTGCTAGACAAACAGCAGAGGTCCCTGGAGTCGCTCTGAAACAACGCAAACTCACTCTCTCCATCCCAGCTGCACACAATCACAACCCACTTTTCACACTTTCTGTATAACTGGACACATGGTTTATTAAGCTTATGAACCAAAACAAATGTTTTCCTGTTTCCAAAGTTGTAGCTGCTGATGAATTGCAAACACAGGCCAATTACTGATTCTTATGTTATCTGCTATGAATGATCCAAGAAATCCTATCTTAATTCTCAAAAATCTCGTACATTTTGCTGCAAAAGGAGGGAAGGATCTACAAGATATTAGTTTAGCCGATTATTAATAACAGGGTTGTGTGAAAGAAGCAAACGGTGGCGAGTCACGCTCTGCATTCGGTCCCTTATAAAGTAAACCACTGTTTGACCGCCCCTTTAATATAACAGCCCCACAGAGACGAACCGCAGCTGTGCATGACATCACCAGCGTCGCATGTTAAAGAGCATCCTTCTCCCCAATCAGCTGACCATCAGCTGACCACAATCCTTCTTTTGAGGTCCTAACCTTTGGCACGTCGTGTTTAAAACAAAAGGCTGAAATATAAGCCACTCCGTTAAAAAAAATAATTCCTTGGAACAGTTAAAAACAAATAAATACATAACCTGACATAACGGCTGAGCACTGTTCAGATTAGGCAGCAATAAACAAAGCATTTCGAAGAGTTAAAAGTACAATATTCCTTTAAGACTGGCAAAACTTTGATCAATCAACCAGATAAGTAATATGCATTTTTTTGCTCTCAGTGCTAAATCTACATTATGTATTATGTTTATACAAATAATTACAAATTTACTTACATCAAAATTTACTCCTGTTCAAGATCTATTACATGCATACAATGTTCAAAACAGAACATATATATTAATCACGGGGAGAGAATCATAAAACTAACTTCATTTAGAATTATATCAAAAAAACAACATTGCTTTTATTCCTGACTTAAACCTGTAAACCATTCAGACTGATTTCAACATGCTTTACAACTCAATGACATTAGGTAGAAATCTGAAGTCTAACTGAAAACATTAATTATCAGTTTCCACATATACTGTCTGAGTTGTACGAGGCTTGTTTCTGGTACCAATATAGCTTCTACTAATGTATTCTGCAAAAACGTCTGTCCTGAGAAATAATTTGCATGTTCAGCCCAATTCAAAGAACACAGCTCTGCGCGTGTCCTTGGGCACCTTACTACTGCTGCAAAACGAAGTCCGAAAGCATGACCCACAGCCCCACCTAGTGTGAGAAGCTAACATTGCAGACTGTTGTTCTCCTGGAAATCTGCTACATCCCAAACACAGCGTCATCTCTCCAGAAGTGAAACCAATCTGGGGTGAGTTTCCCGAAGCGTTAAAAGACAGAACTAACGAACGACGTAGCGTTAAGAAGGCTTCGGGAAACTCACCCCTGGTCAATATGCCTAGCTTAGTGCAGCAGGAGAAATCGTCTTTCTGCCTGGCCGCCCTTGCAAGGCCCACTTTCCACTGTCTCCCAGTTTGATAACTAGCGTCTGCTCTCAAGCCCCATTACAGCACCCGGCTAGCTCAGTCGGTAAAGCATGAGACGCTTAATCTCAGGGTCGTGGGTTTCAGCCCCACGCTGGGCGATAGCATTTTGTGGGCAGTGGTGGCTTAATGGTTAGGGAAGCGCACTTGTAGTTGAAAGATTTCTGGATCGAATCCCCAACCAGCAAGGCACCACTGAGGTACCCTGAGCAAGGTACCGCCCCCAATCACTGCTCCCCGGGCGCTGAATTAGCTGCCCCCTGCTATGTCACGAAAGTCGCACATGGGTTAAATTCAGAGGACACATTTCGTTGTTGTGCACTGTGTGCTGTGGTGTGTCAACAATGACCACTGATAACCTAATTCTAAATGCTAATTCAGTTCATGGTAATGCAGTCCTTGTGGCTACAAACACCACATGTGGGAGCTTAATGACGCAAGAAAGTGGACTACTTCCACTTGTAAGTGCGTGTGTTGTAAACGTCAACAATATCTATCAAGTTCCGGTTTGTGTAAACTCGTGAAAAACAAACGCCAACGGACACATTCACTGCGAACACTGAACATCTGTTGCAGGCACATGTAGCATGACCAAAGCTTCAGTCTCCAGTTACAGGAAGAAAGGGCTTCGAGGTTTGCATCAGACCCAACAACCACAAGATGCCTTCACGAAAAGAAGCCCACAGGGTCAGTGGGGACAAGGCACACAGGGTTTGTGGGGACAAGGCACACAGGGTTTGTGGGGACAAGGCCCACAGCCTTCTCTAAGGGAGCTGACGTGGGCCATATGACTCTCTCCCTCTGCCCAGAAAAGCACGTGGCGTCTCACCATCTGCCATGATCTGTCAGCAGTAGTTCCAGAAGCAAAGTCAGCTACACACTCTCTTAAAAAAAATCAGAATTCAGACTTAGGCTTCCAGGTCCACCATATTCCATTTAACTGGACTAATTTCTAAAGGTCTGCAGTATGTATAGCAACTTGAAACGTGAGACTTTGCTATAAAAAAAACAGTGATCTCAGAGTTACAGACTGACTCATCCAGGTAAACCAAACAAATGCAATATAGCAATATACCTTGAGGGGAAACTTGGTTTGTGGTAAGAAGACTAAACTTGGTACAACTGAAAGCACTACCAACTTTTATTCGTGTTTTTCTAAGAATTTATATAGCAAATATCCTAAAATAAATATGGATAATCAGTTTTAAAAGCAGCTGCTACATGGGTTTTCTGAATTTCATTCCGTTCCCCTTGTAACACAAAAAGTGTTCATAAACATGAAAAACGCTCCATGAAACCCCATGCTGGTTTACCCCCTCAGTCACCTCCGGGAAACGTTTTCTTTTACCGTGCCTCTGCGCATTATAAAGACGACCGTCACTAATATAAGAAAAGTGAAACTCGAGTTACTGAGATAAGGATTATAGGGCGCGTTTCGATACGCAGAACGGACAACCCTGTCAGCTTCAACCGTGTCTTCAAATACTTCCAATTCTGATTATTCTGACTAAAAATGCGCTTCGTAAAATATACAAATTACTATCCAGGGATTCCTTATGATGCCTTTGTGTTACTGTGTGACCTGACTGATTTTAACGCCAATTTTTAATGTATTCATTCTGGTGCAGATAATCCAGAAACGGAACGTGACGGCTTTCTGCTCACCTACTATTACAAACCCGTCCAATTCTTTTTCTGGCACCGACTTCTTGGACGAGTCTTTTCGCCCGAAAAAAGTAAACATCTTGACTTGTCCTCGATCCCAGATATCTGTAATTTAATTATTCGTTGTGACACATAATCATAACATCGCATGTAAAACATAAGCTCTCGCCATCAGCTATTAAAAAGAACTGCTTATTTTTCAGCACAGATGCTTGATCCAAAGTCCCTTAATACGTCTAACAATCCGCTGTACCCCATAATAATCCAGGTAATCATATGCTTAATCATAGGACATTACAGGACGCTCGCGAGAAGCGCGATCTGTACCTTAGTAACCTTAACATTTAAACTTTCCTTACCGTCTGCTTCTTGTATTTATTACAGAATACTTTAAAAAGATAAGACTTAAAAAGATAAGATAAAAGAAGATAACTGACAGCAAGGTTAGATGGTATCTTCCAAACTATCAATTAAGTCAAAATACATTATATGATTATAATGTTAGATACAGCGAACACAAAAACATTGTGAAAAAGCTGTTTTCTCCGGTTGGTACCCAACAGGCTAGCTAGATACTGCATAACTTTTTACTAACGCTTTGATAAGACGACATATGGAATCAAAATAACTAGCTAGGTGCGCAAATGAGATAAGCCGCCCTGTCAAACAGGTCACTTACCGTCGTTTTTTATTTCTGAGTGAAGGATGTTACAAAGCAGTGTCTTTCTATGCGGTTAACTCCGGCTTATCCGGCCCTTTTTTGCTGTCTGGTTTCCTGTGTTATCGGACGTCACGCAGCCTGGAGTCGCTGTGGACCAAACAAAAGTGTAACTAAGAAAACACCTCCGTATTTCTGTTTTTTAAAATCAGGGCGCATATAACAATTCATAAGATTATACGTTATACGTATACATTATACGTTTGTTCGATTCAAAAAATGAGTTTTCACCTCAAATCCATGTACATTCATCGTAAAACGTTTTATTTATTTATTTTTTATATTCAAATAAAATGTATTTGACGTAATTTAAGATCGTGAAGCTAATTTTAAGATCACTGGTTGTGTTTTGTAACTATCGTCGTAAGGTGCATTAAAACGCGCTAAAATGCATTTGAAGGATTTATAGGCATCATAATGCATTGCGCAACAGTGTTTCCCGGGGACGAGATACAGTGTAGCGCCAGGGCGGAAGTGACGCAGCAACGAAACAAATTGCCGCAAAACGCGTTTGGCGCGCTGAAAGAGGGAGCCTGGGGAACTTGAGAAAGAGATTGAAATGGCTAATGTTTACGAGTCACCGAAATCTCGCATAAACTCTGGCATGCTACCTCAATATATAAGCAAGCCAGTTTGTTTTGTCGGATGCGTCGAAACGGTAATGTAGTGCTCCTTAAGGTATTTTGTTTTGTCGTTTATTTTCCTCTTGAGCGTTTTGTATGACGACGAACAGGCGACTGGGGATTCATGTGAGATGCATAAAATGTATGAGGATAAGGAAACGACAGCTGTCTAATACGATTGTGGTTTTTTTACGTATCAGGTGCATCCGAGTGGCAAGTCGTTTGTTCTGATAGACGGGGAGGGCAAGAAGGCAACAGTGGAACTTAACGACCCGGTATGATAATACTTACCTCCATCTTCCAGTCGCTTATCCCGTCCAGGGTCTCAGACTTGCTTGGAGCCTGTCCCTGGCAGGACAGAACCAGAGGCCGTGGTACACCCTGGAGTGGATATCCGTGTACTCCTTTCTAGTTCTCACTAATTCACACTGGCAGCTAACAGATTTTTGGAGAAACATTTAATAACTTCACATTAGATATCCTCACACTGTCATGTAGTTTAATATGAATTGTCTGCTGTTCACTAGATTGATGAAGAATTAAGTGGAATCGTTGAGGTCATCGGGATGGTGTCCAACAAAGCCGCCATCGTGGCCACTGCTTACCAGATACTGCGAGATGACAAGGGGACGGCATTTGGTGGGTTTAATCTCTAAATTCAAGTACATTATGTGTTAAGACAACTTGTTACTGATGATCTTGTCCCTGCCGTCTAGTACACCTCACGTTTTAACATAACCCATCATTGTCATACATGGTTTATTTTTGTTTTTGTGAAGATTTTTTTAATTATTATTTAAAACACGACTTGTCCCATTCTTTCTGTTTCAGACCTGGAACTGTACAATGAAGCACTTAAAATTATCCACGATTTCCCCGAGTACTATCCGTTTGAGGTCTCTACGGGTGGGTTTTAATGTTGGTTGTTCGGCCAGCCAGAAGAGCGCATCACTGTCGCTGGAATATTTTGGTGACTTACTACTCCTATAGCTGTATGGATTCTTTGTTCTGCTTCAGAACTGTCATGTGCTTGATCCATATCTATCTGTAATGTTAATTTTGTTTTTTATATATATAAAATTTTGGAAACAACTGGTTTGTATCAAAACTAGCAATGGTTTCTTGAATTGGTTTTTGACACGTGGATTGTTTTATAATACAGCAGTTGTACTACAGCCGAGGTTTCAGGCCCCCAACCTGTCACCCTGCCATATAATCTGGAAAATACAAGGCATCGAGAACCCCATCTCTCCTGTTTCCTGTCTGTATAGCTTTTTGTTTGTTTGTGTGTGTGTGTGTGTGCGCTCCACCTTTAACTCTGGAGAGGGTTATTTTCTTGGCTAATTCAGTGTGAAATTTAGTTAAATCAACCTGAGATTTAAAAACAACTTAACATTTTGATGCTTCATGTTTTCCAGCTGCAATGGGACCTCACTTTTTAAAATTGTGACCAATGGCCCTCACATTCTGCTCTAGTTTAATAATTAAGAGACCATTGGGATTCTCCACCAGCTGATGCAAAACACTTAAATTAATTTCAGTCACACTGAAGTTTTGAAACAGCACTAGCCTGATTCATATTTAACGTTTCCGCATGCCGTTTTCCTCCTCGAGCGGATGCGTGGAATGTCCGTTTGCAGCCCAGATTTGGGGTCTAGCGGACATTTTGTGAGTCAGCGTGCATTGACTAAGGGTTACCAGTAGATGGCAGCACTTGACTTTCACATGTCAGCCAAGGATGAGTTGAAGAAAAGCGGTTGTAATTATGCAGAGATGCACTGATTGTATTGGGAAACTATATATGGGTATCGGCCGATACAGCAACGATAAGCCACTGGCTGATGGTTAAAAATGATCCGATATTTACTGTCAATCCTCATTAAAATACCCATACTGCTTTGCACACCCATGTGCTAAGTAGAAAAATGTCTGCTGTAAGGAATTATTTTAACAACATTAGAAATGATTTTTGTAAATATTGCCCTGCTAAAATTTTATGAGAATCTACTAATAAACATTTTAATACAACAAATTTGATTGCTCACCTTTTGATAGCAAAAGAAAATTCAGTGCAAAATCAAAAGATATTATTCGTAAAATTACGGATTTTATCTCACTTGATCTGTTGTCCGTTATAGATATTATAAAAATATATGCAGTAATAAAATGTAGCGCTCTTAGACTGTTGTCAGAGTTGGTGTTTTTTCATATTTTTGGAATGTAATAAATTTTTAAATTTATTTTATTTTAGTGCACGTTCAGACTTATTTAAGAAGAACCTCCCCAAGAATCAGCATTGGGGTCTGTTTTTGAAATAATCAGCTATCAGTATTGGCCAGAAATATCCTTATCGAATCACTAATTATGAGCAATAGAATTCGATGAACAGCTGTGTGAGTGGGCGTGGAGGTGCGTTCACGTATATCTCTCTCGTCATTGACGTAGGGTAAAGATCTGTTTTAGTGCATGAATTCTTGGAAAGAAATCAGCCAAACACTGGGCAAAGAAGAGAAATCATTCAGACCAAAAAGACACCCTTGGCTGGATGGATGGAATATTGCTGCTTACACACGCTGAGCAGAGTATTATTGTTCAGTTGGGTTGAGGTCAGGACTCAGTACAGGCCTGTCAAGTTCTTACATCAAGCCATTTCAGCAAAACAGTGTACAGTGGTATGTATTATCATGCCAAAACCGACAGGGACTTCCCGCAACCGTGGCCAGAAAGTAGATAGCAATAAGTGGTCAAGAATGTCGTTATGGTATAGTGTTAAGCTTTACTTTCAATCGAACCCCCTCCTCCCCCAACCTTTTACTGGGGGCACTACGCCTTCTGGGAGCTAACATCCTGGCATCCGGCAAACCAGATGGTGAAACGCAATTCATCACTCCAGAGAACAATGAACATGTTGCTAAGCTGCCGTTAATAAATTCTTGTGCTGATGTTGCTTTCAAAGACAGTTCGTAAGTCAGTTCTTGTGTTTTTTACGTGGCGTACGTTTCAGCGCACAGCGATGGCTCTCTGTGAGCTCACGTGACTTAATGTTTCATGACTGAGCCAGTGGGGTTTTCGGAGGGTCGCCGGTTCGAGCCCAGCCTCGGCCGGTCTGCGGCTCCTTGAGCGAGGTCCCTAACCCCCCCCTCCCTGGGTGCCCCTGTGGGTGGCTGCCCTTCACAGCTAATTTGCTCTTACCTACAGAGAGTAAGTTTGGGGAGGCGTAAGGAGAATTTCCCTATGGGGTCAATAAAGTATCAATTGTTATTATTCAAGTACAGCTGCCCGGGGCAGAAATGTGATAGACTTCTTAGTGACATCCTATAATGCCACCGTATTGAACATAACAGGGTCTTTCACAATGATCCATTCGACTGCTGGTGTTCCTGGACAGAGATTGCGTGGCTGTGTGCTTGATTATACACCTCTGTAATCAATCGGTTTGGATTAATCGGCCAGTTCCACTAATTCAAAACAGGTATCCAGATACATTTGGACATAAACTGTATTTATGGCTTTGGATTCATCGCAATTTGAATGATGTATGCAAATTTGCCTATTGAAACAGGTGCAGATTTTAGAGAGATGAACCAACGTATGTATTTCATTCAGGATGCAGCAGCATTTTGCTGTTCCTGTGCTCCCGGAGCCAATTAGCAGTCACACTCTTTCCTCAAAGGCAGGACATGCCGTCACCATGGTAGCGCATTCCCAGAGTTCCCATTTACCCTTAGCCTCTTTGGCTCACTGATAGGCATTTGCTGGTGCTACCTGGATCACATGACAGAGACGTAACAGCAGGTAAAAGACCAGGAAAATGGGCTAGTCACTGAACTGTAGGGTGTGTCACAATCTTTTTGTGTTTGTGCTCCACCGGGGACATTTTGTACTGAGTTTCTGTTCTTCTGTTGAGGGAAAAGAAATAGGAACTGAGGAAATGGTCTGTCACCTGACCTCACCCCACCGCAGAACATCCTTGTCTCCAAAGTCCAGCTTCCTCCCCACACAACCCGCACAGCAGTGTTTCCCAATCGGGTCCTCGGGGACCCACAGTCAGTCCACATTTTTGCTCTCTCACAGCTCCCGGTAGGGAATCAGGAGGGAGCAAATGTGTGGACTCTGGCAGGGAGCTCAGTGGGAGCAAAAACGTGGACTGGGTTCGCAAACTGCTGTACAGCACAAGCAGCTGGAAGCAAAAAGATGGGCAATCATTCACCCAATCATAGCGAAGCTGGAGCCTGTCCTATGCAGCATGGGGCACAAAGCAAGACACACCCAGGACAGCATGCCAGTCCATCACAGCACACACACAGCAATGGGCTATGGGCAATTTGGAGACATGTGTTCAACAAATTACATGCTTTTGGACCGCAGGAGGAATCCAGAGTACTTGGAGACAACCTGCAAAAATACTTGCAGAACAAATATTCCACACACTCAGACCCAGGAGCAGAACTCGAACCCCTAGCCCTGTCTGATGGGCCTGCCGATGCTGAGTCTACCTGCGTGAGTCTGCCGATGCTGATTCACACACAGATGTAGGCTGTAGGTTACATTCGATGCATGTTTTTGGCATTAAAAAGGATCATTATGGACATGTGATGTATGGGGAAGAAGATGGAAACACCTGGAAAGAAATGCGTCCTTATGGGATAACAAGCTCAAATGTTTTTGCAATTTGGCAGGACTCCGTGTTACTGAGGAGGCTGGAAAATATTTGCTGAGATTTTATTTAGGGATTTCAGTATCCCCAAGCCTGGATAGCAAAACCTCGATGTAGTCCATATGTTACAAACCAGAAACGAATAAAACAAAGGATTTGAACAAGCAATAACTGAAATTCTGGATTCTCTAAATCACAAAGTTACAGGTTACTTCATTTAATAAAAATAGTGCTGTTTTAAAATGTAAAACAGTCAGGGTTTGCTAAAATTCGTCCTAGTCACTTACACAAGAAAACATCTAAAATTTCCAAGATAAGACGACACTTAATTGAAAACTGGGGGGAAATTTTTGTCATTCAGCTGTAATTTGAAAAAGTCTCCCAGCACAAACAAGAAACAAATATATTCATTAATTAATAGTAACAAGAAAGTGGGTTTGATATAAGCATTATCAAAAGTTGAGTTAATGAAGTAAAATGACCTATAACATCCTCATTTTCTTAGGGAACATGAAATATTCAATGACAGCAGGGAAAAAACAGTAAAAGCCATTAATCACTGTGTGTCACAGAAGAAAGCACTTGTTTCAGCCCGGCTAGTAGACAAATATGGTCTCTTTAAACTGAACATTTAAGTGATTACAAATACACGTTTCTGGATGGGGGGCATTTGCACCTGTACATCATAACGACAAATCAATTATGCACAAACTGCGATGTATAATGGTCTAATTTCCTTGTGTTTTAGACGGACAGGGAGAATGTTGCCTTGGGCCAAGCAGCTGCTATATTGTAGCAAGTCTAGACAAAGATGTAATTGTAACCAAACGAGCTCATTGGTCAAGACATGGACTGTACTGTGATTGCTACTGTTCACTGGTAAATCCTTCCTGGAGTGCTGCAGCAAAGACTGTAGAGGACTGTAACAAAGCCCGTTACATTTATATATTGGATCATTCCAAACATACTTTTCATGGTGGCAGTTTACAGCCTTCTGGCATGTGTCGTGCCACTGAGGTCTTGCCTTTGCTAGCAGTTGCTAAAGTGCCTTGTTTTGTTCTGTGCAATGGCGGATCAATGTATAATGTCCCATTGTGTTAGGTGGTGATTATATAACTATATTGGGCAATAAGTGATTTTTCTTTTTATAATTAAATTTAAATGAGTCTGTTCATTTTTAGTAAAAAAAACAATGTGAATAAGATCATAAGATGATCACAAGTGAGAAGAGATCAGAGCAAGACATTAGTGGTGAATTATGTTGAAATGACAAGTTTACAGGGTTTAAAGGAAAGTGACTGAATTCAATGGTGAAATAAAGACAGTCACTCGCAAACAAGACAAGGGTAAAGTGGAATGACTGTCTTAATTATTTTGCTAACAGCTAAATTAATGTAAGGCTTAAATGGCCTTCCAAAAAGCGTCCTAATGCTGAATCAGCACCACCTAGTGAGCCCATCAGTTTCTTTATATCGGATATGAAACACAAAGGATCCTCCATCACGGTCTGCTTCGGCACGTCGTCTTCCAGCTCCGGGGCTAAATCCGTTATTAACTAAGAACCTGCTTGACCTTAAGGTAAAATCACAATCCCTTCCACCAGGGCACCACCTGCATCAAAGACTCACATCTGGAAATTATTCCAGGCCCAGCAGAACCAGAAACAATGTGTATTTGAACGGCTCCTTTCCTAGAGCTGTTTAGCTGAACAAATGACCATAGAAAGTCTACACTTCCGTCTTTAATCTTCTTACCAAGTCAAGATAGTGTCCATTATAAATATTTCTGTAGTATTTTGGCAATATGAGAATTTTGTAGTAGAAATTCAATGTGGAAGGCTGAAGCCAAACCAGGAGCCCAATCGCGGTCACTAGGCTACCGTGATCTTCATTTAGCGATCATTTCACTCAACGACCTGGTCGCTGGAATGTTTGTACAATGAAACCATGTCGTACTGCTTCCTTCCCATCTGTCACAACACTGCGAGAACATCCAACTGTCAGCTTTGCCACATTTTATTGTTAATCAGTACGAATGGCATGAATACGATGATGTACTTTATAGCTGTAGGCAGTGCTTGAAGTGGGAAAAAATAAGTGCAGGAACTCTAATTTTCTCGGGCCACTGTCGCTGCGTCGGATCAGTTTCAGTAAGTACCGGAACGCAGAAAAAAGTGGCGGAACCCAAAAGACGAAAATACAGAAGTTCCAGAACTGCGTTCCGCTGCGTTCCGGCCCACTTCAAGCACTGGCTGTAGGTGATTCTGGTTCTTAAGTAGGGCAGCTGAAGGGCCACCAGAGAGTTACAAAGCAATAAAGCATAAAGCACCAGAACATGACATGGTCCAAACTCAACAGCTGGCATTCCTGAGGAGAACACCATTCCCAGACCTTTAGTGTACCCTCTGTACTTCATAGTTATCTGCTGTCCAAAGCTGGAGATACTCTCATGGAGATGCTTAGCTTCAGTTCATGAATGGATAATGCCTGTTTCGGGAGTACGGGTTATGAACATTCCCGGCAGAGAGAAGAATTATCTTGTCCTGAGGTCACTTTGAGGTGAATCCTGTTGCTTGCCGTCTTTCTAATTTTGTTACAGGTCTTCTGTTGTGTCCATGGATACCTTGTTAATATTGTAAGAACCTTTCAGCTCATTACTGCGTCGCTGGGATACCGGAGGGACGGAGGATCATCACCCACGTGTTGCTATAACTTTTATTCAAGGAAAAAAGCCTTAACTCCTACACCATACTGCTGGCTATGGTTTTTACAACAGGAAATATCCCGATATCTTTTAAATGCCAAACAAATCATTTAATTTGTATTAGCAGTTCTCTTACTCAAGAAAAGAACACAAGAAATACAGATTTAAAAACCTAAAACTAGCCTTTATGCTAACACTTCTCGCATATTTACAGTAATGTTATCAATATGCATTATCCCTGTCAAATAAACCAATAAACGAACGATTAGTGTACTCTAGGGATTCTGAGAGGTGACATACAGGTATTTTAATTTGACATACAAATGATTTGTGTTGAAAAGAACGCTGTAAGCCACACAGCCATGTTTCACCCTTAATCTCTAATTCATCCAGATCTCTACACATAGCCAATATTTCACATTTAGCCCCCAGAGTGAGAAAATAATCACCAGTCTCCACCTGAGGCAAAAGCGGAGCTCTCAGGGAAGGGGGCACGTGGAGCCAAGGGAATTTCTCCATGACCACAGGGTGTGTGTCACCCTTTGACAAGTTTAACTAATGAGCTGCAAACAGCACCTGAGATACGTGTCAGATTGGGGCAGAATCTCCCGGGAGTCCAAACTCCTCAAATCACAGAAAACCCCAGTGAAATGTTTTAAGGTTGTTTGTCAGCGGGGAGCAATCGCTGATTTATGACAAGTTTGGGGGGGAAAAAAGTAAAGGGGGGGGGGGGGGGG